GAGTCCAGCGTCCATCTCAAGCAGAGAGCAGAGAGGGATGGGCCATAGGAGTTCCACTCGTTTTCAGGAGTTCCCCTCCAAGCTTAAAGGGACCGATTCCTGTGAGCAAAACTGGGCACCTGATAGAGGGGAAGGGGTTCTAGGTTTCCAAGGACACTCTGGCACCACTCCTGCCAGTGGCGGAGCAGAAGAGGAGGCCACTGGGGTGGGCTCTGATGTGGGGGCATGCAGCACCACTCTTAGATCCCCCACTTCCCTCCTAGATGGAGCGGAGGTGGTCTTGGACAGGAATGACCATCATTACATTCTGGACTCTCGTCATTCCAGTTCCAGAGCAATCCGTGCTCCGCATTCACCATTTCTTCCATGTGTACTGATGTAGTTGTGACATCTGGCAGTGAAAACCGTGCAAGTCATTTGTCATTCCTCCATGCCAGTATGACCAATTCACATTCCTCCCCCAATCCCCACCACCCTCCAAAAACATCAAGTCCGTCCACTCTTCTACCCTTCTGTATGGCTTTCTCTCCTAAGCTTCTCTCATCCACTCTCCTAAATTCAGCCTGGGGTGGAGGTCAAATTTTCTGAAACAGCACTTTGGGAGCTTTTTCTCTGGTGGCCAGTGTGAAGCCTGGGGGACAGTGTTAGATCGCGCTAACAAAGGATCGGATAATGATTTCAGCTCAGTGATTCAGCTTTATTTGAAGTAGCGAACAAACACTCAAACGCATTCCAAAACCAGAACAGCTTAACATTGGAGCTATGCTCCTTTTAAACATTACCGGGCTAATATAGCCACGCCTATTTACAATTAACAACCAATGAGATTGATGAGTTAAAGGCCAATGAGAGTCTTTCCCTCGCTGGAGCTTGTGCAGTTCCTGATTGGTCGCTGTTAGAGGGCGACCAATGAGAGAGTGGTTCGGAGGAGCCTTCTTCTGGCTCAAGTTTTGCATAGGGAGTGAATGAGGCGATTCATACAAGCGATCTCAATACATTACAGACAGTGTGGTGGAAGTGGTCAGCGGGCTGGGGCAGGATCTGGGAGAGTCACTTTCCAATCCCTGACTGTGCTATGAAGCTTGCGGGTAACAGGAGAGGAGACCGAGATACGTCCCCCTGAGCTCTTTAGAGGAAAGATGGGATTTTAAACATAAATAAATGAAACCCACTTTCAGAACAACAGAATAGTCCTCGTGGCACGATCACAGGGAGTTTGTGTGTGAAAAGATAATCCGTTTTAGGATCAGCCTCCCACACGCGGAGGATTCACCCCCCTAGGCAGCTCCTTCTGGCAGACGGCCTCGCTGAGGACTAGCAGCTTGGGAAGTGGCAGCTTTGCCTACCAAGGACCCCACAGAGCTACATATACCCACCTCCAGTGTTCCTTCTAAGCTGAGTTAGTGTGAGCTAGCTCTCAGTTTTTTATCCTCCGGCTCACACATTTTTGTCTTTGCTCAGGAAGGATGGCTCCAGAGCGAACTAATTTCTGCAACAGCCAAATCACTCGCTCACAACTTTAATGCCAGTAGCTCACAAAGTAGAATTTTTGCTCACAAGATTCCACAGCTTAGAGGGAACATTGCCCACCTCACCCCCAAATAGTGTTGCCAGACCCCCCCCCCCTTGGTGGAAGCAGGGGTCCCCACTGCCGACCCCTGCCCCCCAGGTGCTGGTCAGCTGGCCAGCGGGAGGACTTAGCAGTAGAAAGGCCTAGGCCACATTGCCAGAGTTGCAGAGGAAGTGATGTCATCACACCAATGACTTCCAGGTGACACCCGTATCCGAGCAAAAACACTATGTGAGAAGCCAGTTTTACCATAGAGTTTTTGCCCAAATACCAGCGTGCCACTCAGAAGTCGCTGGCATGATGTGACTTCATGTGCAATGCCAACAATGTGGCCTCCTCCTTTCTACTGGTAAGGCCTCTACCCATCCCAATTGCTAGGAGGAGCCTACCAACTTGCAACATCTCTGGCCAGCCACCTAGCGTTGTCAGCTCCTGCTTGGGAAATACATGAATATTTAGGGGATGGAGGGGATTTTGGGGAGGAGTGGAACCTCAGTGGGGTATAATGCCCTGGAATCCATCCCGCAAAGTAGCTGTTTTCTGCAGGAGAACTGATCTCTGTCACCTGGAGACCAGTTCTAATTCTGGGAGCTCCCCAGGCCCCACTTGGAGGTTGGAAACCCTCTGTGAGCCACACCTTATACCTTCGCCTCGTTGCTTTGTGCAAACCGCATCCAAGAACATGCTGCTGTTTCAGGTGCAGCCCCCCCTTGTAAAAACAGCCCCCTCATAGATGCGTGTGGGGAGGGGAAGCGCCCCCCTCTCCCCTGTTTTTCCTGCCAACCGCTTTTCTCCTTCCAAGGCAGGGATTTCCCTCTCTCCCTAGGGTTCTTAACCTTTCTTGTGCCATGGACCCCTCTGGCACAGCCTATGGAGCCCTTCTCAGAATAATGTTTTTAAATGCATAAAATAAAGCATATATAAAGGAAACCAATTATATTGAAACACAGATATGATTTTAAAAAAAATATAGCATTGTGTGTGCTTCTTTATCCATGCATTAAATAACAATGTGAACTTGACTAAACTTGCCTGGCGTCCCCTCGCAGCCCCCACACTTGTGTCACAAAAGGCTGCGCAGCCTTATGGAGAGGTAAGAATTCTCCTTTGAACTCTCGTGTTCCAGAACTTTAACAAGGAATGAAAACGACTCACTTCCTTCCATGTATTGATCAATAAACAATTGTATATAGGAATACTGGAAATCAATGTCTGGGCCACAAATCTGAGAACATCCGACTTCTGAATGACGACAAGCTGAACGACAATAAAGTGCACAGTTGCCTGATAGTTGGCCAGCTGCATCACACAAGCATCTGTAGAGAGGAAGACTGCGATTCTGTGCAGTCTGGCAGTGGGTCTAATCAGTGGCAGATTAACCATTAAGCAGACTAAGCACGCGCTTAGGGCACCAGGGCTAAAAGGGGCACCGCAAAGTTGGGGAAAGGGTGAAAAGGAAAAAAAACGAATGAAGATTTGTTTTAAAAAATTGATAAAACTAGTGCACATTGATCATGGTGCACCCTAGGGTGGTCTTCTATTTTTTGGTGGCGAGGTGCAGTGTCATAGGCTGTGTTTAAACGTAAAATGATGGAGCCAAATTCAGTTGTCACGACAGTCATTTCAATGACCCTCTCTGCCCCTTTTTCATTTCAGCCCCATGTAAACGTCAAAAATGAAGTGTGTTCACTTGAGCGGTGCGCAAAAAGAGAAAACGTGCAAAAGAGAATGAGAAGGAGGTGGGCACCAAGACTGGTCAGTGCTTAGGGCACCAGTGAGCCTGAATCCCGCCCTTGGGTCTAATAACTACCCTCATTTCAAAGTAGTGATGAGCGTAAATGATAATGTGTCTGCAACAACTGTAATGTGATATAAAAAAAATCTATGATTTCTCTTGGTGACAAAGTCACAGGTACTGCTAATACTACTGTGGTTTGTGGCCTACAGGCATAATTGAAAGAAGTGCTGAATTTCAGAGGTTAGCCAAAATAAAGATGCAATTTTCCCCCATCCAAGTTCACAGACCCTCCTGAAATCTACCCACAGATATGTGCTATCCCTGGCTTGTCTATTTCATCACAGAATTTGGAAAACAGGCTTGTCTTTTACCAGTTCTGCAGATGTCAGAAGGACTTAGCTTGGCAGATAAATTAAAGTAGGGCAACCACCATTTTTTATTTATCATATGGCAGAATTACACACAGGAAGCATATAATAATATAAAATATGTAACGAAGTTGATACAATGGGTGTGCAGACAGACTGGGCAATCCCCCTAACCGTTAAATCTGAATTTTCAATCCACTCGATTGTTCAAAGAGCTCTGCCACATCTCCCTGGAAAGCACAACGCTCACATTCCTGTGACAGATGGAAAATAGTTTGGCGGGCTGCACCACAATTGCATTCTGGTCTTGGGTTTTGCCCCATTTAAACAACACAGTGTTCTAGCAGTCACACCCCAAGTTGTACCATATCATTTTTGGAGAATGTTGTTTCGTGTGCGTATTTTTGCTGCTACTTTGGTAAGATGTTTATAGCTCAAGGTATTTAGGTATATGGTTGTGTGTAAGTTGAGTGACACTAAGGTAGATATTCAGTTCACAGTTGGCAAATTTGTTACTGAGATGAAAACAGGAGCAATCTGTTTTTCCTGGACTTGGGAATGAACTGCCATTTACGGTAGTGATCAGTGTTCCCTCTAAGCTGAGTTAGTGTGAGTTAGCTCACAGTTTTTTAGCCCCCGGCTGACACATTTTAGTCTTAGCTCAAGAAGGGAGGCTCCAGAGCAAACTAATTTATGCAGTAACCAAATCACTTGCTCACAGCTTTAATGCCAGTAGCCCACAAAGTAGAATTTTTGCTCACAAGACTCCACAGCTTAGAGGGAACATTGGTAGTGATCAGATAAAATGTTGAGATCCCTAGTCAGTATTTCCTCAGTCCTTTCAATTCCACTAAAGAGGCTCTTCTTCACATCTCAGAGCATTTCTGAGCCTCCAGCATCTGGGCTTTCAAAGAAAAGCCTCATCAGAACCCACTACTGGAAAGGTTTGTCCTCGTGTGGATTACCTGAGAAACAGGAAGAAGACTGGATCTCTGCCTCAAGCTCTTGCTACACAGTATTTATGAGATTCCTCACCTGTGTGGATTCTTCAATGGTTAAGGAGATATGGGAAAGTCTTGAATCTCCGTCCACCCTTAGAACACATCCTTTCTTCCCCATGAGATTGATTTGCGCTCTATCCACAGTTGAATATTTCTATCATTTCTTCCAGGTTAGGATAAGGATTCTGCGCAGATACAAGCACTTTACAAGAGTTTACCTGGTTTGAACCCTTTCTATGCGCTGTGGTTTGCTTTTTCATGTGAAACAAGACAAAAACTCTTTTTACAAGCTAAGCAGTTATCTGGTTTCTCAATGTGTGGGTTCTTTGATGCTGCTGAAGATGGCCAGGCTAACTGAATCTCTTCTCAGACTCTGAGCATTCAGAAGGCTTCTCCATGTGTGCGTTCATAGATGTTTTGAAGATCACATCTCTGAACTGGTTTCTTTTCTCACTTTGTGCATTCAAAAGATTTTTTCCTTGTTGTGGGTTCTTAGATGGTGTTGAAAAGTAATGCTCAGGTTGGAGGCGCTTCCAGACTCTGAGCATTCAAAAGGTTTCTCCCATGTGGATTCTCTGATGCAGCTGAAGATTGTCCAACTGACATAACCTCTTTCCACATTCTGAGCATTCAAAAGGTTTCTCCCCTGTGTGGGTTCTTTGATGCAGTACGAGATCACCACTCTGACTGAATCTCTTTTCACACTCTAAGCACTCGATGATGCTGACAGAATCTCTTTCCACACTCTGAGCACTCAAAACATTTCTCCTGTGTGGGCTTTTTGATGTTGTTGAAGATTACCAAGCTGACTGAATTTCTTTCCACACTCTGAGCATTCAAAAGGTTTCTCACCAGTGTGGGTTATTAAATGGTTGCGAAGATGGCTGCTCTGATTGAATCTCTTTCCACACTCTGAACATTCAAAGGGTTTCTCCCCTGTGTGGATTCTTTGATGACGTTGAAGATGGCCATTCTTACTGAATCTCTTTCCACATTCTGAACACTCAAAGGGTCTCTCCCCTGTGTGGGTTCTTTGATGCAGTAAGAGATCGCCACTCTGACTGAATCTTTTTCCGCATTCTGAGCATGCAAAAGGTTTCTCCCCGGTGTGGGTTCTTAAATGGCTCTGAAGATGGCTGCTCCGACTGAACCTCTTTCCACATTCTGAACACTCAAAGGGTCTCTCCCCTGTGTGGGTTCTTTGATGTAATAGGAGACTGCCACTCTTACTGAATCTCTTTCCACATTCTAAGCATTCAAAAGGTTTCTCCCCTGTGTGGGTTCTTTGATGTAATAGGAGACTGCCACTCTTACTGAATCTCTTTCCACATTCTAAGCATTCAAAAGGTTTCTCCCCTGTGTGGGTTCTTTGTTGTAGAAGGAGACTGCCACTCTTACTGAATTCCTTTTCAAATTCTGAGCATTCAAAAGGTTTTTCGCTTGTGTGAGATCTTTGATGCTGTAGAAGACTGTTATTCTTACTGAATTTCTTTCCACACTCTGAGCATTCAAAAGGTTTCTCCCCTGTGTGGGTTCTTTGTTGTAGAAGGAGACTGCCACTCTTACTGAATTCCTTTTCAAATTCTGAGCATTCAAAAGGTTTTTCGCTTGTGTGAGATCTTTGATGCTGTAGAAGACTGTTATTCTTACTGAATTTCTTTCCACACTCTGAGCATTCAAAAGGTTTCTCCCCTGTGTGGACTCGTAGGTGCTTTCGAAGCCTACATGTGCCACTGAATCTCTTCCCACACTCTGAACACTCAAAAGGTTTCTCCCCAGTGTGAGTTCTTTGATGCTGTAAAAGATTGTTACTCTTACTGAATTTCTTTCCACACTCTGAGCATTCAAAAGGTTTTGCCCCTGTGTGGGATCTTTGATGTTCTTGAAGGTGGCTGCTCTGATTGAATTTCTTTCCACACTCTGAGCATTCAAAGGGTTTCTCCCCTGTGTGAGCTCTTTGGTGCACAAGGAGCTGTGATCTGTATTTAAAATACTTTCCACACTGAAAGCATTTACATGCCTTCATTATAATGTTCCTTGGAAAATGTACATTTCCCTGTCTTTCATCAGAGGATGTCACTCCACTCTCTGAAGAGATAAATGGCTTCTCTCCTGAATGAATGCTTTGGTGTTTAATAAGGTCAGATTTCCGTGACAAACACGTGCCACAATCTGAGCAAGTATAATGTTTCTCTCCTCCATTTGTTTGTTGATTATTTAGGAGCTCTGCTCTGCAAAGGAAGCTCTTTCCACACTCCAGGCCTTGATGGGTCTTCTTTCCATTGTGCATTCGCAAATGGATATTATATTGGGCTTGATCTGAGAAGTTCTTTCCACACTCCAAGCAGTTGTATGTTTCTTCCACCAAGTGAATTACTTCATGGAAATCCCCACCTTGGCAAGGAATGGGCTCATCCCTCTTCTCGACTACATAGCTTCCTTTCTGCCTCTTAAGTTTGCCTTGGTTCCTGAAGTTTCCTCTCAAGTCTTCATTCTTGACTTCATCTAGCGATAGATGATGCAGATTCTCATTCTCCTCATTCCTCTGATCACCTTCTGTTGGAATAAAGAGAGAGATCCCGTTAGCACCCACATAAGGAGGTCTGATTTGCACTTGAAATTCCATCCACACAGGGCTGGTTTCAGCTGTGCATTGGAATGTACAATAATATACATGTTAAAAGTGTCTTCCCATCTGTCTGTGTGGTCCATCTCTGAAGTTTCCTTCAGCCTCTTCATTCTTGGCTTTTTCCAAAGAGAACCCCTGGAATTCCCCACCTGTCTCCTCTACATCTGCTGCCGGAATCACAAAAGAGGTCCAGCCTCCACCCAGGCAACTGTTGGACACTGCCCTGAACCCATCACAGGAGGGCGGTATATAAATCTAATAAAAGAAAAGAAAATAAAGAAACCAGACCACCAATCAGGCAATCCTCATTCACAAGGGTGCCATTTTCTTTGGTACAACTTCTATCTCCTCCAAACACGTTTGCTGCAGGGAAGGGAGAAGTTAAGACATCTCCAAGTTAACTGCAAAATTTAAAGGGTACCGCTATGGTTTGTGGAAAAGATATGGGGGGGGGGGGTTGTTAAGGCATATAGATAATGACTGAAGACAAGTGTTGATGACCCCTTTTGCTCATTCAGCCTGGCTGTTCTTAAATAACCCAATTCCCCATTAGTCATGCAACTCCTCCATTAATCATATGAAAACCATATCTGGTAGGAGTCAACCAAAGGGCCTTTTCCCCACGGACCCAAGAGGTTACCTCCCTGAACATCTGGCCTGAATAAGGACCCAAATAATGAAGACAATGAGCAAAGGACCAGCCCCAGTCACTTCTTCCTTATCTGAAGTACTGGGCAGGAAGATTTCTCCCTCTGCTCCACAGCCCTTGAGTTCTAGTATTTAAGGAAAGGGAGAGAAAGTTCACTTTGTCAACTCTCTCCACCCCATGCATAATTTTATAAAGCTTTAGCATGTTTCCCCTCTTCGTTGTCTCTTTTCTAACTTAAAAGAACCAGATTCTTCAGTCTCTTCTCATATGGAAGTTGCTCCAACATCTCATCATCTTAGTTGCCCCCCTCTGTACTTTTTCCAGCTCTGTAATGTCTGTTTTAAGAAATGGTGACCAGAACTGTACACGGGATTCCAAATGAGGCCACACCAGGATCTATACAGGGGCCTTACAATATTGGCTGTTTTATTCTCAATCCCTTTCCTAATTATCCCTAACATAGACTTGCCTATGACTCAGCAAGTTCAGACCTCAATAGCCTATACTTGAAATTAGAATTTTTTTTGTCCCAATGTGCATCACCTTACAATTACCAACACTGAACTTCTTTTGACACATTGTCGCCCACTCACCCAATTTGTGGAGGTCTTCTTGGAGCTCATCACACTCAGCCTTGGTTTTTCACCAGCCTGAATCATTTGGTGTCATCTGCAAACTTGGCCACTACACTATTTACCCCTAGTTCCAAATCACTGATGAATAAATAGTACCAGCCCCAGTACTGATCCTTGTGGGACCCCACTGCTTACTTTCCTTCATTGTTAGACCTCACCTAGAGTATTGTGTTCAGTTTTGGGCACCACAATTTAAGAAGGATATAGACAAGCTGAAACGAGTCCAGAGGAGAGCAACGAAGATGGTGAGGGGTCTGGAGAACAAGACCTGTGAGGAAAGGTTGAAGGAGCTGGGTATGTTTAGCCCGGAGACGACTGAGAGGTGATATGATACTTGAAGGGCTGTCATCTAGAAGATCGTGTGGAGTTGTTTTTTGTTGCCCCAGAATGTTGGACCAGAACGGGTTGAAATTAAATCAGAAGAGTTTTCGGCTAAACATTAGGAAGAACTTCCTGACAGAGCGGTTCCTCAGTGGAACAGGCTTTCTCAGGAGGTGGTGGGCTCTCCTTCCTTGGAGGTTTTTAAACAGAAGCTAGATGGCCATCTGACAGCAATGGTGATTCTGTGAATATAGGCAGATCATGAGAGGGAGGGCAGGAAGGGTTGCCTCAGTGCTTAGTTCTTGTGGCCCTTTTTTACACGCCCAGGGAAATGCTGATTGCCACTTTGGGGTCAGGAAGCAATTCTGGAGAGTTTTTTTGTTACCTTCTGGGCGTGGAACAGCAGTCCCTGTGGGGGTGGAGGGGGGAGGTATTTGTACATTTCCTGCCTTGTGCAGGGGGTTGGACTAGATGACCCTAGAGATCCCTTCCAACTCTATGCTTCTATGATTGTGAGAACCTATTGCTTTGCTTTGTGTCGAACCTAGTAAGCTTCAAGTTGGTGTGTCCTCACTGCAAGGCCCCATGGGTTGGGGGAGGAGATGTAGGGTGCATTCAGACGGGGCATTTATACCGGTATAAACTGCTGCGGTTCCAACCGGTGCAATTTGATCTGGAAGAAATGCGATCATACTCACCTCCTGACTGCGCAGCACATCGTGATATGCCCGTTCACAATACCGACACGCAGCAGTGCGTGTCAGCGGTCTTTAAATTTTTTTTTTACATTTTGCACATGCGCATAGGCAGCCATCCACAGAGTTGAGATCTTCGCGCAGACGCAGAACACTCCATCCCGAAAAGCGTGCCCTGAAGCGAAGACTTCCCTTTAAACTTTTACAGCGAAAAGGGCCTCTGTGAGGTCCCAGACTCATCTGCAGTCTAAAACGAAGCATCTTTTTTTTTTTTTTAATGCCGGGGCAAAGCTTCGCCCAAGCGCACATCGAGGAGGCTTAAAAAAATGGCGGCCGAAAAGCGGAAGCCTCGGGCTTCCAAACGGAAGTGGCTCTACACCGTCGGAGAGCGATCAGACGGGGATAATGCGGTTGGAACCGGTGCACTCAGGATACCACCACTCTGGTGAATAAATTGAATAGTACCAGCCCCAATAACGATCCTTGTGGGACCCCACTGCTTACTTCACTCCTTTGGGAGAACTGTCCGTTGAGTCCTACTCTTTGCTTCCTGTCGAAGCTAATAAGCTTTGCATTGGTGTGTCCTCACAGCAAGGCCCCGTGGGCATGGGGGGGGGGACTGGAGAGCCAGTGGTGCAGCACTGGGCAGATGATCCCGCGCTGCCTGGAGGAGGGGCAAACCCCTTCCCCACCCCACTCCCTTCGCCAGTGCTGTGAGCCCAGGCCCCAGGGTAAAAATGCAAAGCGGCTGGGTGCTGCGAGCTCCCCCATGTCCCTGAGTCACCATGGAAGGGGCTGGGAAGACAAGCTGAACTAAGTCCCCCCACCTGCAGAAGCGGGGAGGTGGCCCAGGTCAGAGGCCACGTGCGTGGCAGGACCCAGGCCAAGCAAAGCCCAATAATCCGGAGATTCCTGTGTGGCAGCAGCTGCCTTCAGCCAATGCTGTTCAGTGATCCACGGCAGGGCAATGCTGGGGGTTTCAAACCGGAGATTGTCAGCAAGCTGCATCATCCCCATGCAGTGGCAGCCGCCCCAGGCGGCTGGATCATCTGGTGGGGAAGCGGGCACTGTGCCCACATAAGACTGCGTGTGTGGCAGGGGCCCCAGGGCCATCCAGCAACCAGTGTAACTGGAGATTGCCACACTGCCCCCTTACCAGGCAGCAGCCACTTATGGACGAAGGCCACCGGGTTGTCCTTGGGGGAGGGAGGCCCTGCAGCTGAGGTGCGTGCTCAGTGGCAGGATTAGGCCCCCGATGTGCCAAAGCACAGCTGCAATATGAGTGGTGCGAATACGGCAGCAGCACAGGCCGCCCGCAGGTCCCAGCAAAGGACTGCCTGGACACCCCCACATGCAAACTCTGATCCCCGAGAGATCATAGAATCATAGAGTTGGAAGGGACCTCCAGGGTCATCTAGTCCAACCCCCTGCACAATGCTGGAAATTCACATATACCTCCCCCTCCACACACACCCAATGACCCCAGTTCCATGTCCAGAAGATGAGCAAAACCCTCCAGGATCTCCAGACAAACTGGCCTGGAGAAAAATTGCTTCCTGACCTCAGCATTTCCCTGGGCATATAAGAAAGGGCCACGAGAACTAAGCACTGAGGCAACCCTTCCTGCCCTCCCTCTCATGATCTGCCTCAGTTCACAGAATCCGCATTGCTGTCAGATGGCCAACTAGCCCCAGTCTGAAAACCTCCAAAGAAAAAGTCCAGAGATGGACTTTGCATCACTCCCACATCCCAGTGCCAACACTTTTTCTCCTCCTTCATCTTAGCAGAAATGTATAAAAAGAGATCCCTCAGTCCATCCGATTTGCAGCAGGTCTTGGACCCCAGCCTCTTCCCCCAACTGTATGGGTGGCTTCTCTGCTTTTCCACCCTAGTCTGCTGTACTTCTCCAGAGCTGTCAAGCTGTCTTCAGGAAGCGGGCTTGTGTGCCTTTGACTCTTCCCTTTTATTTTCTCCCTTCATAGCAGGAAGTTGGTGAGGGAAAGGGTTTAAACTGTGTTTGCACTTCACGTGTGCATTTAGTTCCTTTCCCTAGCACCTCTATTTTTATTTAACTGACCTAACCCAGTCCTCTTTCTGTTAATGAATTTTCTTGTTTAAGAAGTTGATACCCTTCATTTCTTTTGAGTGTTGGTCTGTATCTCGATCCTGGTAGGCATAGCTTTACGATCTCAGGAATTAATACCCCACAATACATGGGGTTTTTCTTTGCTAGCAGAAGGATGCTTTTGCCAGCTACAAGGGTGCACATGCATGAGTGATTTGGGTAACCCTTTCTGAGGGCCTCTCAGCCCCTCCTTGGCTCCAGGATAGGACACCCTCTCTGGCTTGGGTGATGGCCACAACAGTGGCCTCAGTTGCCCCTGGGCCAGCCAAGTGGCTTGGGTCACTCTCCCAGGCCATGCTGGAGGTCACTTTCACTGCCACCCCAACTCCTCAAGACTCCCAGTAGGGGGAAAGTAATGGGGCAGGCCCAAAAACGATGTATTAGTGTTCATTGTTTTGATTCATGCCTCATCCCAATGGCAGCAATTCACACCTTGGGCACCTGTGAAAGACCCTTACCCAGAAAGGCCACGCTCCTATGGTTCTCCAGCATGACTTCCCTGTAGAGAGCTCTTTGGCCTGGATCCAGTAGGGCCCATTCTTCCGTGTTGAAACGGACAGACACATCGTCAAAAGAAAAGGTACACTGGAAGAAAGAGCAGATTCCCGACTCAGAGATCACGACAGGTACAGAAGGCACACTGGGAGGGGGGGGGAAGTCGGGGAGGGCACAGGATGTTGAGCTTGGCATGGGCAAAGGGAAACTTCAGCAGCAACCGCAGGAGCAAAAGCCCTTCTGTGAAAGGGGTGGAGGGGACCAGGCTGTCCCCTGCTCATCTCCTCTACCTGGACTGGAGGTGCAGCAGCTGTTTCCACAACTCTGCCAAGACTATGGCTGAACACCATCTGTCCACTGCCTGAGAGGGAGACAAAAGAAGGAAGGGTTAGCCTAGACTCCCTCGTTTGTTTGCTTGTTTGAATCCTGCTTCGTGCACCCTCCTTCCCGGGGCTCTGAAACCTTGCCATAGGCACACTCGACAAAATCTGCAACGATTTTTAGTAAATTGTGAAAGAAGAAGAGAAGCACCAGGTACTCTGAAAACCAAGATGTGACTTCGGTGTATATGAAAACTCCAGGTGACTATCAATGGGTTTCCAGAGTGTCTGCTGGTGCCCTGACATTACATCCAGTCACACGCCACCCCCAAACATCCATAGTCCACTCTCTTTCTGACTGTGGCCCAGAAGGCAAATGTTGGCCACTAGCAATGCCTTTTCAGAGGTATGCTGCCCCAGAACATGGAGGTTCCATTCATTTCACCCCCCAAAAAAGGGGGGGGGGAATGTAAACCAACAAAGCACAAACCTCCAAAGGAAGTTTAGAAAACTTATTGAGGACCAAAAGTTAAAAACATAAGTGTACAAGAGAGTATTTATTACAAAGACATATAAAAACCCATCAGGGGCCCAAATAAAGCCTCATAAAATGTTCCAATATGGAATTGAATGACACACCAAAAATTTTCTATTTGGGGCCACAAATATATCTGGCCTTGTGTCACAAGTAGTTGTATATACTGGAAATAATATGTACCTTCCAGTTTAGGTCCTAAGAGTGCAAATAAATTGCCTTGTCAGGGACTGTTACATATTGATAGCACATTGTCCCTGACAAATATGTCATTCAATTCCATATTGGAACATTCCAATTTTGGTCCTACCTTATTTATTGTTAATTGCCTTACATGTGTTACAGGGACTCTGTTGCTTGTTGTATTTTGCACTATTTGACCTCTGAAGAAGGATCTTCCGAGCCAAAACGCGTCAGGTCTGGTCATACACTGTCCTTTTTTGTGTGTGTATTTGTAACTTTGAACATTTTATGAGGTTTTATTGGGGCCCCTACTAGGTTTTTACATGTCTTTGTAATAAACACTCTTTTGTACACTTACTTATGGTTTTTTTTTTCATTTATACCCTGCCCTCCCCGCGTGCGGGTTTTTAACTTTTGGCCCTCAATAAGTTTTCTAAACTTCCTTTGGAAGTTCCAGTCATTTGCCATGGCTAAGAGCTACACCCAGTTCCCTTTGGGAGCTGCATTGGATCCCACTAATAGAGGGAGGCTGACATGGCAATATTTTAGTAAATGTGAATAAGAATAGAATTGCCTTCTATGAATCTGTCTGATTGCCTTTCAAGGGAGTGGCCATCGCTACATGCTATGGCACTGAATCCCAGAACTTAACTCTGTGTTGTGAGCAGAAGTTATTTCCCTTTTCTCCTGTCCCAAACCTTCTACTGAACAACTTCACTGTGTGCCCCAATCCCATCTGGCCACAAAACAGCCTTACCATGTGAGGGGCCATTTTGGGTGCGCTCCTGGGCCTGAGCCCCGTTCCCTTCCTCCAAAGGAGATCCTTCCTCCTCAGAGAAGTTCGCTTCCATCTTCACTGCTGGTCCCGACATCTGAAAGAACAGAAAAGGAGATGGCTAAGAGAAGGAATAGAACAGGCCGAGGAGACGGATTCTTCCCCACTCCCAGACTCTGGCTCAGCTGGTTCAACCACAGGGACAAGAGATCAGGGTTGGGTTTTCTTCCCAGCTGAGTGAATTCTCTCTCAACAGCACTCAAACTATTCACGATGGCATTAAAATATTAGTATCCTACTCCTCCTGGGTGGGTGGAGTGTTACCTCCCCAGATGTACCTGTGCTAAACTCACTCTCTCTGGAAAACGTGGAGGGACCCAGCAGCCAGAGAGGCGAGTAAGGCCAGGGTTCCACGCCTCACATTGGTCCAGCAAGGGCAGGCAACAGGGAGCCAGGAAAAGACTCCATTTTGAACCAGCCAAGCTAGATCAGGAGGAACCGAGTCCAGTAGTTAGCACATGTGCGGGACCTCATGATCAGCCAATAATTAAGAAAGATCTTCATCAATGTACTAATCCCTAAATCCTATCTCCTCTGACCCAGACACCAATCTGGGTAAACTGAACTGTCTCTTCGAAGCCATTCCCAGCATCTAGCACCTTTCCCCAACCAACATCAAGCCACAGACACTTGGAAACGCAAACACTGGTGACCTTCCCAACCTCGGAAGTCCAAAACAAGCTTCTGCACATGCCCACCTTAATCCAGCTACTCATTACACCCCAGGCCAGCCCACCCCCTGGCTCTCCAAACCACATTTAAACCGGCACACTGTGCCTCAATTTTTGTACAGCTCTTGGGGCCCATAGGACTCAGACTCTGTCTGAGCCTTTGACATGAACCGCTGGTTGGCCGTGGACTTCAGGATCAGGTGAATATTGCCCTAATCTAAAACCCCCTTCTTCTCACTACTGATCACCTCTGTTTCCTAACTCTGTGTGCATTGATCTATTGTTACTATTTTTGCATGAGCGAGTAGTGTGAGCTTTGCCTTTATTTACAATAAAAACTCCATTCATTTAATCAAAAGGTCTCTTCCTTCCACAGGTATCTCTCGCAATTTGACCTCGTATACATAGAGTATAAAGAACCCTTGTACACGTGTACTGCCCCAGGCAATCCATGTAACAGGAGAGAGGAAGGATAAAGTATAAAAGAGAAAGGAAAGGAGGCCAGGCTTGTTGGCGACTGTTGCTGTCCTCAACCACAGGCTTGGGAGAACATCTCTGTCTTAAAGGCCCTGCAGAAGTGCATTAGGTCCTGCAGGACACGGATGTCATTGGGCAGAGTTCCACCAGACCAGTGCCTGGTCGAGGAGAAGGATCCTGTCCCACTCCCGGACTCCTCATCCCTGCATCGTCCAGGAGAGCTGCTTCAACCATAGGAGCAGGGATGAGTTTTCTTCCCAGCTGAGCGAATTCTCTAGAGGCAGAAAGATCTGGATGGGAAGCCATAGGAAAAGGTTGTCCCTTGACCTTAGCGAAGGAAACCCCCTCACCTTCTCTGCCTGCCTCTTCTCTTCTGCCTGACTCAGGAGGAAACCTTCGGCCAGGGCCACTGCCTGGGAACTGGTCTCCGGCCCACACCCTCTGACCCAGCACTGCATTCCCTGGGGCAGGATGGCCAGGAACTGCTCCAGGATCACCAGGTCCAAGATCTCCTTCTTGGTGTACCTTTCTGGCTTTAGCCAGTGGCTGCAAAGTCCATGGAGTCGGCTGCAAACCTCTCGGGGGCCCCTGTCTTCCTGGTACCGGAACTGCCGGAAGCATCGGCCGTGTACATCTGTGGTCATAGTGTCCTGAACCAATATCTTTGGCACAGCTCTTTCCCAATATTCAGCACCTGTGTGGATGGGATAGGGACCTTTCCTTGATCTCTTGCCAATTCCAGGTCTTTCTGGGTCCTCCTCTTCCACCCTCTTCCCTTTCCCTTGGGTTGTCTCCATGTGTGGAAAGTTATCCTTAGTCACGAAGCTATGAAGAGGGAGAGGAAAACACATCAAAAAGGCAGAAAGAAACCAAAAGAGAAAGGAGCAATATCACCGACCCTGACCAGGAGACACCCAGGGGTTGCCCCGGTGGATCCGATGGAGTGGCCTTGTTTACTTTTGGACCAGGATTATGGTCATTGTGCAATATTACATATCAAGCTTTTAAAGATATTCTTGTTTGCTTCTTTAGGAAAGTAAACCATCTCTTTTTGGTTCTTTAAAGATCTGTTGCTGATGTTATGATCTTGGCCTCCAGTTTCTGGGGATCAGTCTGTCTCTCAATGTAAATTGGAGCCTGGGACAAAATGACTGGTAAGGGCTTAACCATTGCAGATATGTTGTCAAAGGCTTAACCTTCAATGACTGGTAAGGGCTTAACCATTACCAATGTTCCCTCTAAGCTGTGGAGTCTCATGAGCAAAAATTCTCCTCTGTGAGTTACTGGCATTAACGTTCTGAGCAAACAATTTGGAGCCACCCTTCCTGAGCTAAGGCAAAAATGTGTGAGCCGGAGGCTAAAAAACTGTGAGCTAGCTCACAATAACTCAGCTTAGAGGGAACACTGACCATTACAGATACCTCCTCCATAGGCTGGATGCATTTGGCAATAGCTCTGTCCAAGTCCTTGGCAGTGGGGGAAGGGACAGAGGAGCATGAAGCCTCTCCAGTTTAAGGCAGAGGGGCTGCCTGGATGAACGGGGGGAGGCAATGAACCCTCAGGAAAATGGCAGATGGTACGTGAAGCACTGCCCGAAATGCTTTGCATGTGGAGCAGCCAATGGGCTTGTATGATTCATCCCATGTGATCATGCCCGGCCGGGAGTCCTTTCTGGGCCTCCCTACCATCAAAGGAAAATAGACTATTTATTAATTTATTTTATTTCTAGACCACCCAATAGAAGAGATGAAGGATAAAGTATAAACCAGAAAGGAAAGGAGGCCAGGCTTGTTGGCAACTGTTGCTGTCCTCAACCATCGGCCTGGTAGAACATCTCTGTCTTACAGGGTTTGTGGAACTGTATTAGGTCCCACAGGGCATGGATGTTGTTAGGCAGAGAGTTCCACCAGGCCAAAAAGGCCCTGGCTCTGGTCGAGGACAGCCGGATATCCCTCAGGCCAGAGATCATCAGGAAAGTCTTTTCCCCAGAGCATAATGCTCTTCAAGGGGTATACCAGGAGAGGTGGTCCCGTAGACCAAAAAAAAAAAAGGTGGGAGAACCAACCCATTATAGAAAAGGTAACCAAAGAGGTTAAGGTGGAAACAATAATCAAATATGGCTAAACATGCAGTGCTAATATAAAAATATAGAATATATTTTAATTATGTATAGGAAATATTAAAATCACAATAAAAACCACGTATCTATGGATCTGCACATAAGCACCTGTACCTAATATCAGGACAAATGACAGAATATATAAACACAAGCTAAAAGGTACAAAACATGCCCAAATACAAGCACCAAACATGATTCAGCTAAAAAGCCTTTCTTGGTGGTAAAATACAAGCTGAGCACTCAGTAAGTTAAACATCAATATATTTCAAACTCATCATACACAGAATGGACCTAAAAGCCAACAGTTATCAAATACACTGTAGACCTTATTCACACAGAGATGTTCACCCGTGTGTGTTTTAGTTCATATGCCAATGGATCTGTTTAGGCCCAGTCTGCAATATTCAAAATCCAGATAGAAGGGGCAGCCATTTGGATGGGAGACCTTCAAGAAATACCGTGGTTGTGATCAATGTTCCCTCTAAGATGTGGAGTCTTGTGAGCAAAAATTCTACCTTGTGAGCTACGGGTATTAAAGTTGTGAGCAAGCGATTTGCCTACTGCATAAATCAGTTTGCTCTGGAGCCGTCCTTGCTGAGCTGAGACAAAAAAGTGTGAGCCAGAGGCTAAAAAACTGTGAGCTAGCTCACATCAATTCAGCTTAGAGGGAACACTGGTTGTGATGTGGAGGCAGGCAATGGCATACCACCTCTGAACATCACTTACCTTGAAAACCCTACAGGGTAAACGTAAGTTAGCTGTGAATTGGTGGCAACAACAAATACGCATTAATATAGACCACAGTCCCTAAGAATTTCTCCAAGTGACTTCGTGAATCATTCTGGACAGTGCTACCCTATTGCCCGTGTAGAAAAACCCTCTTGGAATAATTCAATTTCCCGTAGCCAGGAGAGCGGGAACCTTTCTGACCTCCTCAGGTAGCCCATTCTACTAGGTGGGGGTTTTGTGGTTTTATGGGGTGAATCTGTGTTTTAGTAGTTTTAACACACTGCATGTGAGCCGCCCTGAGCCTGCCTTGGCAGGGAGGGCGGGATATAAATCAAATAATCAAATAAATAAAGGAGAAGGCACGTGGATGGACAGTTGTTGATTCTGCCCCTTTGCAGGGTAGGACCTGCAGAAGTCCCTGCTCAGGTGAGCAAAGCTGTCATGGCAGAGCATAAGGGGAGAGGCTGTCTTGCAGGTATGAGGCTCCAAGGCCATGAAGGGCTCTGGATGGGACAGTCCTTACAGCCCCCGATGCCCAATTCCGCCCCCAGACGTCTCTGCAGGAGGGCAGGGTCACCACCCCCTATATGGGGGTGGTGGCAGGGTCCGCTGCGACAAGGGCAGCAGAGAGATCCAGGAGGAGCCACAAGGAGACCGGACTTTTGTCTACAGGGAACAGACGCTTTAAAACTATGTATTACATCTCAAGACAATTTCATACCAGCTCCTCCCCGTCAAAAGCACACGACAGCCGCGTTTCTGTATCCCAGGACTGAAAACCTTCCCCGTGACTTACTTGTGAGTAAACCTTCTCGGGATCCGACGGCAAAACCGCCTTTTTTTCCCTCCTCTGTTGCAGATCTGCAGTCCTCCCTGGTCTCCTTGGCCATTCAATAACCAAGCCCCACCCCCACCCCGGAAGTGACCCTTCCCTCTTTCCCGCCCCCACGCCTTGTTTGGCCTGTCTAGGAAGCCGCTCGCTCACTTTAACCCTTTCAGTGCTGCAGACCAATGCATGAGAAAAAGCTCCCTCTCCTCCTCTCCACGGGGCGCCGCGGCCAGACTGCCCTCAGCGACGCCCTAGTAATGCAGCTCGACGGAACTGCTCGGGAGTAATTCTGCACGGGGAGATCCCAGACCGGCCAGCCCTCTCAGAAAATGGGGCGGTTGAGCCGGGAGGGGGGAAAGAGATGGAGGCAAACTGCAGCCCGCTCCCCTTCAGCCATCCAGAGCAGGTCGACTCACAAGCCTCTTGTTTCCTGAGGCTCAAGCGGTTTTAGGATTGCACGGGAAATGTCTGTTCCTATACCCTCTTCCTCCAAACCAGCCTGCCGGCGAGCCCGCTTCCTCTCCCTGCCTGGGGGTGGTCTGCCCTGTCGGTGAGGGTTGCCACCTCCTGCTTGGGAAATTCCTGGAGATCTGGCCACTTTCTCTTCCCGCGGAGGCTTTGGCCGTATTCAAAGAACTGTTTTCAGTTTGGGGGGGGGGGGGGGGGGGGGGGGGGGGGGGGGGGGGGGCTAAGGAAGGGCATCCCTGACCTGACCTCACTGTTCCTACTTCAAGACACCTTTTGGCAGGGTTGTGTGCGTGCACTTCTTTTTTTTTGGGGGGGGGGGCGCATTCTGCTCAGTCTTGAGAGTGGAACTCGTGGCAAGCCCTGGCTCAGTGGTGGGGAGCACTGTTCCCTCTAAGCTGAGTTAGTGTGAGCTAGCTCACTGTTTTTTAGCCTCCAGCTCACACATTTTTATCTTAGCTCAGGAGGAATGGCTCCAGAGCAAACTAATTTATGCAGCAGCCAAATTACTTGCTCACAACTTTATTGCCAGTAGCTCACAAAGTAGAATTTTTGCTCACAGGACTTCACAGCTTAGAGGGAACGAGCATCTGCTTGGCACGCAGAAGGCCCCAGGCTCAATTCCCAGCGTCTCCAGTGGGAAGGACTGGGCAGTCGGTGATGGGAAAGACCTCGGCCTGAGGCCTTGGAGAGCCCCCTGCCTGTCTGAGTAGGCAATACTGACCTTGATAGACTGATGGTCTGATTCAGTAGAAGGCAGCTTCAAGAGTTTATATGACCACAGGCTTTTCCCTATCCACCCCCCAAAAGGACTCTTTTGAGTTGTTCCCCTTTATGCACGGGGCATAAAGCAGCTTCTTTGCATTTTGGTTGCAGGAGACACCAGCTGTGCAGCATCAGAATCAAACAGAACCCTGTCCTGTGGACTTAGTGGGATGGCAAAGGTGTGGGAACCTGTCTGCTCGCTGGATTCCCTGTGGATCCCTTCTCAGAAGCAGGGTGCCAGTGATAGCGACAGCTTGGGAGAGTCCTTTCTGTAGGAACCTGACTCTCTCGGCACTCTCTTGGCCTGGACCAGGTCACTGCCACTGGGCTGGATCGCCAACTAACCATCACAATTAGTCCACGGCTTTTATGTCAGGAATATATTTGTGCAACCAATCCAAAAAGAGTAGGAAACGGTGTTTCTCTGTTATTCCTATTAAATGCCACTTTTCAGAGTTTGTTTCCCAAGCTTCTTCCTCAGTAGCGCTACATTTAAAACTGTAAAATTAGAAAAAAGTTCTGAGGACAAACATACTATTTGCCAGTAGAGGGCAATGAGGGATTGCTTTTCACAAACCAGCCTCATGAAGGGTGAATTTCCAACAGGGAAATTTTTATCAGGCTGTTTCCATCTTCCCTCATATCTCTCTTCCAAGATTTAAAAGCGTGACCCCCTCCCCGCCCCATGACTTACTTGTGAGTAGACCTCCCCAGGGTCTGACCTCAAGCCTTTTCCCTGGCGTTGCATATCTGAGGCTTTTCCTGTTCTCTTTCAGGATTCAGAAGCAACCCCCTCCCCAGAAAAGCCCCCCCCCAACCTCTCTAGCAAACAGCACTCCTGGCTTAACTCTTTCAGAGCTCCAGGTGGTCAGTCGTGTTGGTCTGAAGCAGTAGAACAAATTTGGAGTCCAGAGGTCCCTTATGTAGTAGAGGTCCATCAGTGGCTCTTAGCCACAAGGTACAGATAGATCACTCTATCTGGGGCAAGTGATGCTTTGTACTCTTGGTGCTGGGGGGGGGCAACAGTGGGAGGGCTTCTGGAGTTCAGGCCCCCGCTGTGGATCTTCTGATGG